CGTACGTGTTTAATATTCTGAGCGTGGTCCCTGTGATCGTCCCGGGGGGCACGATGCCTTTGCTCGGGGGGCACGGCCACCGCTGGGGCCACGCTCCTGTGTACAGTTCTCACCGGGGTTTGTTTCCACGCGTCGAGCCCTCCTCTTCTTTGCATCTCTCGTGACCGTACTCCTCTCCCCAGCCTTCCCTTTCTGCCCCCCCCTTTTTTTTTTTTATCCTTTTTTCCTTCCTGTGTAGCTTGGAAACTAAGCGAACGGTTGGCTTTCACCAACCTTCACCTGGTGATCTGTTGTACAGGACTTTGGGAATCACAGAGGGCAGGGGGGGAAACCAACCAAAAAAAAAAAAGAAAAAAAAAGAAATAAATTACTTTGACATGGGGTTTGAGGCTGACTTCTTTTGTCCCTGTACATCTTCAAACAGAGGATGCTGTTTGCAAAGCTTTCACCTGGGTGCCATTTCCCTGCTGCTGAGGGGAGCAGTGCAGGAGGAATTGGGGTGCACACGCTCATACGGGGATGATAAAGAACCTTTGGCCTGGCCTTGGTGAGTCATTCCTGCAGAAATACAGAGCAATAACCCCTCCTTGGGAGCGTGGAAAGTCCCTGTCGAGCCTCTTTGCTTACACACTCCTGAGAAGCTTCACACAAAGCCCCAAAGGGCCCCTCACCCAGAGCAACCATCCCAAAAATTCCCCGTTTCCCTGCTGCTGGGACTTTTCCTGGGGTCACTGTCCAAGCAGCTGCAATTCTCCAGATCTTCTCACCAGCAAGGTCATAGCCCCAGCTCCAGTGTTCCCAGCACACGGGGCAAACACCCACTACAAATTGGAGAATAAAACGGGATACCACCATAAATATGACAACTTTATTAAAATATACATATGAGTACAAATTAATGATTATATGGATAAAGTTCACTGTCTGTAAACAAATATATTAAAAAAGAGCACGTCTTTTTTGTGATATAAAGTGCAGTTATGTTTCCATATTATATACAATATGTCAGCATTACGGGGGGGTTGTAAGGACTATGGAACTAACGTTTGATTATAAGATAAAATTCTCTGAAAAAGTATACACCTACATATTACAAAAGAAGGGCTTGGGCTTGAGTTCATTTAGCAAACAAAAAATCAGGTTCCCACCACATTAAATGCCAGCTAACGAGAGGTCTGGGGGATAAATGAGGAGAGAGGCACTGAACCCCCTGCTCTGCGAAGGGAAACTTCCACTTCACGCCTTCCCATCGCCAACCCCAAACGTGCAGAGAGGAGAGAAACCCAAAAAAAAAAAAAAGGACCAGACCTTGTGAAACACGGTGTCTGCAGTTCAGGGGAAATCAAATATACACGACTTTATGTACAGCTCTGATAACGAGGGCTACCAATGTACAGCGGTGAAGCCGAGCCGTGCCGGCACCGTTCCTTCTCTACCCAGAGAGGAGTTCTGCATTGGTGGGAAGGGAAAAAAAAAAAACCAAAACCAACCCCAAAGCCTCCTTGACACCAGTCTGTGGGATGTGTAGCGTTTACTAAATGGCAGAGGGAGCCCTTGCTAAGGGAGGAGCAGCCCAGGGGTGCTGCCGGGCACTAGGAGTGGGGTGCGCGGCAGGAGCGGCAGCAGGCTTTGCTGTAGTACCAGTGGCTGCACAGGTTGACTTTGATGGCCAAAGCACAGTTGGTTCCTGCCTGGTCCTGGCAGCTGTCGTCTGGGGGAGAGAAGGCGAAAGGCACCGATGAGGAAAAGAAACAGGAAAAATAAACCATTGCGAGCTCGGGAGATTATTTCCCCCCCGCCCTCCATGCACAGCCTGACCTAAACACCCCGGCTGCGAATGCCACCTCCCTGATGCCCTCCATGCACAGCCTGACCTAAACACCCCAGCCGTGACTGCCACCTCCCTGATGTAGAATCATAGACTCGTCTAGGTTAGAAGGGACCTTAAAGATCATCTAGTCCAACCATCAACCTAACTCTGACAAAAAAATAAATAAGAAATAAGCAATTAAAAAACAAACAAACAAAAAAAAATCACTAAACTATATTCTTGAGGACCATGTCAACCCGACTTTTGAACACCTCCAGGGATGGTGCCTCAACCACCTCCCTGGGCAGCCTATTCCAATGCGGGCTAACCCTTTCTGTGAAGAAATTTTTCCTAATATCCAATCTAAACCTCCCCTGGTGCAACTTGAGGCCATAATATTCTGTCTGGCAGAATATCCCCTGGAAAACACTGTGGAGCTTCTCCGTAATTATCATCCTTAACTTAAGCAAAGGCAGGAGAAGGTTGACTCGTTTCATCACACCTGAGCCTCATTTGGTCCCAGCCTCAAAGCTCAAGCTTTTCCCTGTGAAATGGAGCCACCAAGGGTGCCTGGCACTGAGCTGCTCCCAGTCCAAGGGCCTCTCCTAGTAGGGCACAAGGTGATCCCAACATACAATTTCTGCCCCATAGAGGCTATTTGAGAAAGAGAATGGGAATCTAGCAGTGTTACAGCAGGAGTTAGGGGCAGGTGAGCTTCTGGAGAGAGGGAGGAGGCCAGAAGATGGCTTCAACACCCTCCCACCTCCTTCAGAGCAATATTGTCCTTCAAACCCATAGCACCCTCCCACCTCCTTCAGAGCAATATTGTGCTTCAAACCCATAGGATTTGCAGTTATATATTAGCTTAAAACCCATAGGATGCATGAAACCAGGCTGCTCCTAGGGCAGGCAGCTTGCTACAAGGGGGTCAGGAGACACTTCACAAGCCCCGTGTCACATCCCAGACCCTGCAGGAGAACCAGCCGAGGGGAGTCAACGAGCCCAGAGCTGAGCCAGGAGCTGGCCCCAAATCTGTCTCCCATTTTCGTGCTTTTCTCTCACACCACTCTTATTCCCAAATCCTATTAAATAATTAGAACCTCGTGTTCACTAAAGATCACAGGGGCTTTGAGCCAGCAGACGAGTCAGATAACGAGATAGTTACAAATCCCGCAGGACATTTGGAGACCAAAAAATCATTAAAATAATGGCACGGATGAAACTTCCTAGACATTAGCTGGGATCACACAGAAGCAGCACCCGAGTCAGCTCTCCCAAGCTCCCTTTTATCCTAAGGTCAGAGCATGCTTCTTTTCAACTCTCCCCTTAATTTAACGGGGTTACCTCCAGAAATAGCCAGTGCACAGTGCCCCATTATTTCATAGAATCATAGAATGGTTTGGGTTGGAAGGGACCTCAAAGATCATCTAGTTCCAACCCCCCTGTCATGGGCAGGGACACCTCCCACTAGAGCAGGTTGCTCAAGGCCACATCCAGCCTGGCCTTGAACCCCTCCAGGGATGGGGCATCCACAACTTCCCTGGGCAACCTGTTCCAGTGTCTCACCACCCTCATAGTAATGTATTTGGGCACAGAAGGAGAGCTGTCCCTTTTATGTCCTCCCTGGTGCTATCAAATGGGGGGTTGGTGCAAGATAAGATGCTAGGCAGTGCTGTTTTGGGGGGGATGAGTGGAAAATGAATGCTGGGGGTGCTGCCAGCAGCGGGGCTCACCTGGGGGCTCTGTGGGGCAGGGCTGGAGGTCACAGGTCTGTTTGCCCACCGGCTTCACCAGCGGGTCGCAGCCCCGGACGATGTCCTTCCCTTGGTAGCACTTCACGTCCCGCATCCTCACGCCGATGCCGCAGGTTTTGGTGCACTGGGGAAGAGAGAGAAGAGAAGGGAGGCTGAGGCGAGACCCTGCCGCGGCGGGGTCTGTGCTAAGCCAGGACCTGCTTAAAAAAAATAAATAAATAACGTGCTCACTGGAAATGTCAGGGCAGGGAGGTGAACACTTCCCCTGGCTGAATGTCATGTCTCAGCCCTGCACTGCTTGGCCTCTCGCTCCGTCTTTGCTGCCAGCAACATCAGCTGCCTGCAGCAGCCTCTGCCCGGGGAGACGTGGACACGCTCCCATTCCCTGCGGCTGCAAGCCTCCCTCCTCCTGCTGCCCTTTGCGAAGGGCCACAGACCAGCTGGCCAGGTCCCGGGGGCACCAGAGTGCCTGCAGCCCCCCCCAAGGCCGTGGGACCCCCCCAGCAGCACCCCAGCTCCGTGTGGGGCTGTGGAGCCAGCATCTCTGCACATGGGGCTGCAGAGCCTTCTCCTGGTCCCGGTGCTCGCTGCCTGCTGCCCTTTGGATGCCTCGTCAGGCTGGGATTACAGCAGGGCCGCCTTGGCTAATTATAGGCTGCAAGGAGGGTTTGCAAGACTAAACAAAACGAGGTGCCTGGAGCACGGAGGAGGAGGAGGAGGGCTGCGTCGGGGAGGGCTCACGAGGAGCCGGCCGCAGCCCTTCACAGCTCCTCGCCCATGCTCCCTGGGCTCGTGTCCCCACAGCCACCGAGCCCTGGTTGCCTTTGTGGACCATGTAGGGTGCTGGGGCAAACTGCATCCCCATCCCCTGCATCCCATGGGATCCATGCACACCCAACCAGCAGCTGCAGGGTAAGGCAGGGAAGAAGAGGAAAAAAAAAAAGAAAAAAAAGAAGAGAAAGAAGAAAAAAAAAAAAAAAGTATTTCAAACCAGTGCCAACTTACTGGTTTCCTCAGTCTGTTCATTCAAAACCTGGGGCTTGGGCAGGAAAGACGGAGTCTCACATAACCTGTCCTAGGACAGCCACAAGTAAACAGCAACTGAAAGCAACAAGCTAAACCTGCTAATTTTCCTTCAAAAACCTTTCTGAAAGGGTAGGCAACATCCAGATTTAAAAAAAAAAAAAAAAGAAAAAAAAAAGAAAAAAAAAGCCAAAGCTGACCCTGAAACACCTCCTCTCATTCCCATTCTGAGCACAGCCAGTCCTGACTGCACCCTGGCAGGGTAGGGTCTGTGCCTCGAGCTGCCACGGCAGTGAAAAGGCCCCTTGGGTGCTCCCTTGGGGTCTGCATCCTGCAGAGCTTCACCCATCTCCTGGGTTATTTTGCAGATGGTATGGCCCTTTGTAGGAGGGGATGGGGCACCCCAGGCTCAGGGCAAGCACACGTTGAAGGAAGGGTGTTTTCGAACCCCACCTCCCTCCCACAGCTCCCCCAGGCTCCCCGCTCCCTCCCCGCTCACCTCTGACCAGGGGGTGGTGTACCACTTGAAGCACGGCCTCTCGAAGCACGTGGTCTCCTCCACGGGCTTCTTGGCGACGTCGCAGTCGGAGGGGCTGCGGGTCTTGATCTTCCCGTTGACGATCTCCAGGCAGAGCACGATCCTCTTCTTCACACCCCGGCCACACGTGGTGTTACACTGCAGGGGGGGGGCAAGAGGGACCAGCTGAGAGCTGTGCACCCCCATCCATCCCCACCACATCGTCCCTCCTCCTCCATCACCACCCCCCCCCCCC